ATGTTAGGACACTTATGGATAGATCAAGCAAACACGGTCCATTCTGATTTAAGAACATTACCATGAAATTCTGGAGGGTTTTGGAAGTTTTCCGAAGAATAATGGCAGCAGATAAAAACAGGCAAGAGGATAGAAAAATTAACACAAGCATGTCGAGTCTGAATCTGATGCCTGAACAAGAATCTACAGGGCTAATAGAATCTCTGACGATGTTGCAAACTAAATAACATAATTAGTATATCTCTGTTGTCTCCTGACCATTTTAAATTTATTTGTAAAAGCGACAATAAATTAATCTGATACTTTTAATTTGTAGACAAACACGATGTAGTCTGTAAAAATGATTGGCCTATTTCCCTTTCGCAATTACTTAACAGGAACAGAGAAAAAGTTAAGACAAACTAGTTTGCTAAGGTCTTAACAAGAAGTATTCTAAATAAGTAAGAGACTGTGTTCACTTCAGTTGTGCAATATACTGATGGACAGACGAATAGGCGGACATGTTAAGGTGCATTTCAAATTTAAAACTGGCCAATTTTTGTGCCATATTTGAGGACGATAGCTTCCTTTTTGCTGTAGGTTGCTTGTTCTTGTTCCTTTGTGGTGCACGTTGCTTGTTCTTCTTCCTTTTTGGAGCAGGTTGCTTGTTCTTCTTCCTTTGAAGTGTTTATTGGTATACATTTGTGTTTGACCCAATAAAAAGAGGCAAGTCCTGGTTTGGGAAATGCAGAAAGGGACAAATTACGATGATCTTTCTGTGGAAGAGTTTTGTAAAGATATGATATCACAACAAGTGTGGCTTTAGAGCTTTAAAAGTCGTCTAAAATGCCCCTTGTTATTAGGTCCTTGTTTTTGCAAAAGGCAGATTCTTTTCATGAAATCTAGACAATTACGTTTATGAGAAATACTAGCCGATTATTGCACCACTTGCATTGGGCCATCAATCAATATTGGATTTTATTATAATATTTTATTGCATAATTTAGAGTTTAAAAAAAAAAAAATGCGAGTTTTTTAACTAAAACTGCACCTAAGCTTAAATGCATAAAGGAAGCGTCACAGGCAATTAATTTCTCTCTTGAGAGTAATCGTTAAGAAGTATAGCGGAAATTTTAATATGGAGTGATCAACATGACAGTTCGTTTTTCGAGTAAGCAGCCATAGCAAATGCACTGGAAAAACAATCAAGCAACTAATTTTTAAAGAATTATGAAACAAAATTCAAATCCATCTATCTTTGATTTTTGACATACTCTTTGCCTAAGTCAACAGCAATATTGCACAATTTGATGCTTTTATCTAAACGCTGCTCCGAATGTCCGATATCAGTTTCTTCTTTTTAGATGAATTGTCTGCACGTTAAGAGGAAAGAAGAAGATATGCTTAGCTCTAGTTAGATACGTAAATGAATTGTTATATGTCTTTTAATATGATTTAACAGCATAAATATATGCTGTAAAATCTGCAGAGCAATTATTATATTCGAAAAAGAACTTTTGTTCAATTTAAACTAAATTTTCTGATTTTTTGTTCATTTTAATTAAATTCATTTTTAAACTTAAGATGTATTTTTTTTTGTCTAATTGCTGTTGCTTGCTGATTTTCCATGTCAATGTATGAGAAAAGAGAGTAAACATCTCCAATATTTACATTCTAACATTTAGAGCGGTCGGAAATAAACTAAAAAGGTTAAATACAAAACTTACTATGTTAGCTAGAAAACTCTTTCACTTGGTCTCTAAAGTAACAAAATTCTGGCTCGCTCATTTACTTACACTCTATAGTAACAAAATTCGAAGTTCGCTCATTTACTTACGCTCTAAAGCAACAAAATTCGAAGTTATTTCACTTTTTTTTTACGTACGCAGAGAGAGGTTGTGTTTCTACAGAGCAGCTGATTAAAAATGTGCGCTTCTTATAGAATTTTGAGGGGGACTTAAACTAGTCTATTAAAGGGTGTACATATAAGCCACAAATCTATTGGCTTAGTCCATCTCCATTCAACATACCAAAAAAAATATATATATATTAAAGGCCGCAGAAAAAGATATTTTGTTAATTTTTTTCTTCCTTCAAATAAAAAACCAAGTTAACTTACCGAAAAATATCCTTATTTAATATTGCTGTACTTTTGAACGTATTTACTCATTACGGTTAACAAGTTTTTTTTTTTTTCTATTATTTTCGAGACAATTTTCTGCACTAATAATGGATAACATATTAACAATCCTTGGCTGAATATGAATTCTTGCTGAAGGCATGGAAAACTCGTAATGGTTTCTTTTGCTTTGCCCATCTTACAGCATATATTTATGCTATTACATCATGTTAAAGAACAGGAAACATATAACAATTCATTCACGTATCTAACGAGATATCGATATAAAAAGAAATCCAATGTATTGATCCTTCGCAACCAAATCCTTTAATGTTCCGCTCCGTATTTGAAAATGGAATGCCTTATTTGAACAGAGACACACTGTTTTCAGATCAATTTCATTGCAATCATTAAAATGGAAACGCTCAATTAGCGAGACGCAATTTGCGAAGAAATGTTTTCTCTCGGTTGTCATCTGCAACAGCTACCACTTCTTCTTCACTTTAATCACTGTTAGCTGAATCGTCATCTGCATTTGAAGAGTGTTCTTCATTTCCTTACTTTCCAAATCGTCAATTTCGTTTCTTTATTCTTCATCTGAAGTCTCTTCTTCCGTTGCTTTTTTAAAAAACTCTAATGAGCAGCAAATGATTCATTAGTTCATTAGAATAGCCCGAGGTAGCTGATTAAACTTGCGTCTTAATCGCAGCATGCTACTTCTGTAATTAAATTTATCAAATTTATTAATTAATTTACAGATCTTAGCCTGCCTTTCGCAAATGGTTCATTATCTTTTCTAAGGCTGATTCTAGGGATTCATGCTTCAGCCATCAAAAATTCTTTGTGCTCGCCGCTGATGTTGACTAGTCTTACGACTTCCACGGATTTTACCTAAGCCGTACGCGAAGAAATTTTGAAACAACTTACGCGAGATGAAGAGGGCGGCGAATAAAGGTATTTTCTCTTTACTTAGGGAACTGCGAGTAATAAGCTTCTCTACACTTCATGGGCAACAATCCAGATCCTATATGTCAGCCACTGATGCGACGTTTGCAAAATACAATGACCTCGTGTCTACACCTATTTTTTTCACAAATTCACGTAATATACGTCGATTTGTAAACATTCACAGTCTGTTCCTGTTCATTTTCTTGGTGTACGATGCTGGTTCTTGTTCATTTTCTTTGTGTAGGAGGCTTGTTCTTGTTCAATTTCGTAACCATTTATACAATAGCGGGGATGTTTGGTGTAAGCCGCACGTGTTAAGAAATTTTTTTTTATTGATTATCATTACATTTTAGGGCTCAGCCGGCAAAATATGATAAAATAAAGGAAATGGTCGAAGATCCTAAAGATGGCCAACAAATAGTGCGAATTATTGCTAGTCGAGAACAATCTTCACGAAGTTGAAACGGCTGATACGGAAACTGAGAATTTTCTGGGTAAATGGAATAAATTCTAATATCATACATGAACACTTGTTTTTATCGTTTGATAATGTTTGCAGTAGTAACTGTGCCCCCAAAATTCAGAAAAAACGTTTGGGTTAAACGAGGCGATTTCATTTTAGTGGAACTAATCGAAGAGGGCGATAAAGTTAAAACAGAAATTTGTAAGATCTTAACAGCCGAACATATCAATACATCAAAGCTGGTATTTGGCCGGAATGCTTTAAGAGGGACGATAACGTTCCGAACGGACGTTGCGCAAGTAATTATGTTAAAGAAAGTTGTGATTGAAAAGTAAAGGAATTCGATGAAAAATTCAGTGGACCCTGTCATTTATCTCTGAATAGAAATCGCCCAACCTTTTAGAAGCATTTGGAGATGAAAGTACAAGTTCAGAAGATGATAGCTAACTTAAATGCTTACCAATTTACATAGCAAAATGTGCAGATTAGGTATTTTTAATATCTACCATGAAACTCGATCACATTTATTTTGATATATTGTAAGTGGTCGAAAAATTCTATCTCGAGTAAACTCGGCGCGCATTTCGAAAACCGTTTTCTTTTGCCCGCCTTTTTTTTTCTTTAGGACGTTAGCTCTCTCTTGCAAGTTCACTTCTCGATAATCAAGAGTAGAAATAGCAGGGCTTTTTCAAATTTTCTGGGTGTAAACGTCCTTTCAGTACGTTAATACTCATTAGTAACAAATTTTTCTTGAATCTAAACAAAACCAAGACGTATGTATCTGAAAATTACCAAAAATCAAAAAGTGTGTGTCTGATAATTACCAAAAATCAAGGAGAGTGTGTCTGAAAATTACCAAAAATCGCGAAGTATGTGTCAGATTCTCTGATTAAATAAATTTTCTTTATTGTATATAAAAACCAAATGAGACGAAAAATTAAAAATTAAGCAAATACCAATTTATTTATTTACTGGTTTTACCTGAACATTTTTCAAAGCTTACAACCAATTTGACCGTTTGGAACATTGACAACCTTAAAACCGTAAACCGCTTTCACGTTCCCAGTAAGATTCTCTTGGTTGTAAACTGATGGTCCGAAGGTCATGAAATTTTGATATATATCGTTTGAAGGTTCGTTGATCTAAAATTCATACGCTTTCGTCAATAATGACGATATCTACATATCCCATCCGATATACACGAAATCCAGGTCTCTCAAATGCTTTGAAAGTTAAGTAAATAGTGTTACTTATTTATTGGGTGCCTTGTTATATCTCCGTACACATTCGACGGCTTTAATGTATCTCCGTGAAAAATGTTAACATCCCATTACACTTTGTCGCTTCACTTAGTCGAAGTAATGGTTAGTTGACTTCCTTCATCATAAACTTTTGCGAAAAATATGCTCTTGAAAGATTCAAAAAAATTGTAATGTTTGAATAATACGTAATATAAATTTTAATAAATAATTTTTTATCATTCTATTGTAGAGTACGAAATTGGGCTCTAAAGTTTGGTGTCGACCTATGGGAGTTTGGAAGGCAATTTACCAAAATGAATGAGATAAAAAGCGTAAGTGAAACTGATTGATTAAAAAGTGTTTAGAAACAAACGAATATATTCAAATAAAGCAATCAAACCATCAACAATCCGAAGTTCTTTTACAGCTATAATTTACAATGCAAGTTTTCTATAGATGTATGCAATACATACATGGCGCTCCATAAAAGTTTTCTAATTAAATCAATTAAAGTAATATTTAAGTGGAAATTAATATTTATAGTTTTATACAACCTAAAACTTAATTAGTACCAATTCAACCAATGTTGGCTGATCTTCCACCTCCAGTTTTAATTTCACTTAATTTGATGAAAAATAAAGGATCGTGGAAGGGGTTATATCACGCCAATCTTGCTGGTGTCATTAACTGCAGTTGAGTTATAAATAAATAATTATGAAGGCCTTTCACTCCAGACGGGACTCCTAAATAGTTCATTTTGCTGTCATCCTTATTGGTTATTAATTGGCAATTTTAGCTGCCAGCAAATATAAAGTCAGCAGCTGATCTTGACGAATAACGTAACAAGATAAAAAGATAGTATTTCGAGCTTTGCGGGGTCTGAGTTATCGCTCATGAATTGCTCATCTTCTGCAGGCAAAGTCTGCGACACACAGAAAGTTGCGTGCTGACCATCGCCAAAAGTACCAGTCCATGTACGCAATCCCTCATTGGATATTGGTTTTCGTCCCGAAGTAAACCAGTAACGCCCGTCGATCTGTTGTCCGTAGTTCTGGGGGATTTGTCCTTATTGGATTTGTCCTCGCCGAATCCGACTATGCGATTGTTTCCTTCATGAAATAGGAGTGGTAATAATACTATGAAGGAAGGAATTTGTGAAAAGTGGTTGTGCTTATAACTATTTTGTCTATTCCGCTGCAAGCATAGATTTAATTACCTCAAACACCAATGTTAGTGCAGATACTTTTAGTTGATAAAATCCTTATTACTTGCAAATTCTAAATATTTTTTAAGTTTGTTAACTCCAAAACAAAAATCTCTGTATATCCCTCGCATGGTTCTTTCAATGGCTTTGAGCCCTCTGGCGATATTGAAACCTGAAATTTCTTTGCTGAATAATTCTGACGAAATGTTTCAACTGCTAATTCCGAATTATCTACTTACTATCCGTGCATGATGGCTGGCTTGGTTTTGATTCCTAACTTGATCATTTCAGAAAATGATGTTTTAAATGGTTTAAGGTCTCTAAATTCATCGATTTTTAATCAGTACTTGAAATCAGGTGTTTCCCCTAAGTGTTGCAAGAGTAGTTTCTTTATATCAATTCACAAATTTGAAAAGACACATCATGTTGAGAACTGTAAAAACACTACCAAGTTGGGAGTCTTATTCAGATTGTTTGAGCGAATTGTAACCCATCTTTTAGCTTTTGGTACCAAATCACATATATCTTCATTCCAGCATAGCTTTCGAAAAGGAAGATCAAGTGTTAGGATTCTTTATTTGCCATGTTTTCAAGGCTGTTTCTAGTGGCTCTCGAAGGAATGTCGTATATACAGATTTGAGTAAAGCATTTTACTTGGTCAAGCATAACTTGTTGATCTTTAAACTTTAGCCATCGGGCTTCCCTTTGTAATTAGTGAAATGGATAGGCTTTTATCTGTGTAATAGATTATTTAGGGTTGTGTTTAACTTCATCACATCGGATGAATTTCACGTGACGTCTGGTGCTCCCTCCGTTCATCAAAGCAACCACTTAGGACCCCTTTTATTTGGTTTCTACATTAATGGTCTGCCCTATCAGCTTCAAACTGACATTAATAATATTTTTACATGATGCTCATTAAACTTTACGGAATTAAATCTAAAAAAATGCAAGAAGCTTTCTTCTTAAGAAGGAAATCATTCAATACTGAGTATTTCATTGATTCACACAAGTTGATAAGCGTTGATTCGTTCATCGATTTGGGGCTTCTATTCGACCAAAGTTTACGTTTTCATTCGCACATTGAGGTCTCTTTGAGTGAAGCGAGGTCCTTGCTTTTATTAAGAGTTGGTCCAAAGAGCTGAAGGATCATTACGTTCCAAAAAGTCTGTACATGTGCTTAGTTTGACCAATACTTGAGTGAGCCTCTGTTGTGTGGTTTTCTTTCTGTAAGTGTTATGTAGATTCAATTGAATCAATTTAAAAGCAATTGTTTCAGTTTGCCATTGGGAATTTGGGCTGGTACCCAGCTACTGACAGTTTTGGTAATCGAGGTTTTTTATGGAATAACAAGGAAGCCAATACAACGACGCAGTGACCCACTATGGATGTAAACTCTCAACAACGCATTTAAGTTTGAATGGGAAATGACCGTGGGTACGGTGCCCAAGTCGCCAAAAATGCGTTTAGATTATGATACAGTAACCAACTTACCAACTATTTTGCACAACGCCGTATTCCTCTTTGGTATTAGAGAGTGGAATTAAAATATTATATATTAGGTGGTTATATGAATTTTGATAGGCGACTTGTACAGGTAAAAATTATAAAAAAATGGAAAATACCGGTGCACATAACGATTAAATTCGATAGTTTTTACTACTCTTACATAACATAATAGTTTTTCAGTTAATATTGTTGAGCTATTTAACGCACGCCGACGTTAACTGCATGAAGCGCTCACAATTGCGTTTTCAACCTTCATTGGTTTCGTTGTTTGTATGAAGAAATCTGCTGGCGAAGACCACCAAATACGTTCACAAGCTTGTAGCGATACTGCTCCATCATATCCCAATTATCGATTTTGGTTTCAATGGTTTAACAGTGGTGACACAAATTGACGGGAAATGCCATTTTTTGGTCACTTGTTGCAAGAGTTGTTAAGGATACACTGTTGCAGTTCGAATGGGAAGTTCTGTCACGCCCAAGGTACTGACCGAACATATCACCTTCTGGTTACTACTTGATTAGGTCGACGCAGCATGGGTTGGTTGCCACGCAGCTTCGCAAAGTCGAAAAAGTTTGAAAATGGGTCGATGATTGGACCGCAAACAAATATAAGTTCTTTCGACACGATATGGCCATGTTGACGAAAACATGGTAAAATGTAGAAAATGGTGGAAAATATTTTGATTAATATACATTGTCCCAATTTTTCTCAATAAATGCCTTTTTCATGTGAAAAAATTATCAAAATACATGCACTCGCCTAATAGTAGTTTGCGTAGTAATAAATGAGAAGAGAGTTAAGAAAGGTAATTTTATATTTTGATTAATACATTTTTAATTCAGGGCATAAAATATGCTCTAGACTAGTGCAGGCTATTTTCAAAAAATACAGCTTTCAAAAAGAAACGTCGCTCGAAAAAAGTGGTTGTCGATGGCAATTCTGAATTATTTTACGTGCCCGATTGGATCGGACAAATCTCAACAGCCAATAAAGCAAGGCAGGCCCATAAATATGTACGGGCTACTGCTAAACGCTTAGCTTTTGTGGCCAAATAATTGGCTTACTTCCGCTTGTTCATCGAATAGCAAGACACAAACATATAGCGAAGCCACGAGTGCGACGAGTTCAGGACAGTGTGGATCTTTAGCTAGAACAAAACAAGGAAAACATAGAATATACCTTCCCTACAACATGATATGGATGGACTTTATGAATCGAAATTATCTTTCAGAAGCTTTTATTTTCTAAAAACGTGCTTAACTAAAATAAATATTCAAACACAAATTGTCGACTATTCGTTGAGATACCTATGTATACGTTTTGATTTTTTAGAGTTGATGCATAAAAGTTCATTTACGTATTCAACTAATCTAGAAACACATTCGCTCTCGGAAATGACACCATCATTACACATGCAGTTTACGACCGAATAATTTCTTACGGCAAGTCATTGGGCAAATCGCAGAGATCCAAATGTTGGAACTTATAATACTATCCTTTGTATACGGAATTTAAACAAAGCATGAAAGTCGACTAAAATATTCTCAGCGTTATTAACTACACAGAGAGACGTTAGATAAAAATGACGTAAAAGAGATATGGCGATACTCATTAACATTATGCGGACCACAGTCAAGAAGAAAAACATCATATTTGTTTAAAAGAAACCTTGAAGAAATTCTGGTTTTCTATATATCTGCGAACCAAGTCACACACATGAACGAACTATTGCTATTATTCAAAAATTTTTAGCCTTGCTTTAATTTCTAAATATGAATATGACACAACATTAAGTCTAACTAAGGTTCACACGCATTCACATTATCAACTTTTGTCTCTCATATGGATAGGCGAGGAATTATTCTGTAACTCTAACAGCAATCAGTAGTACGAATCAGATGACGATAATGATGGATGGTGGATGTGAATTTTTGCTTTGTTTTCAAAAATGATTCTTTCTAGGGGAGGATGTGTTTATAGTAGTATTGTCTCGAAAAACTTCGTTTGCTATGCTTTGTAAACTCTGTCTGTAAAACATTAAATGTACTTGTCGCAGTTGTATGTTTCCGCTTTTCACACACCACTGCATTAGTGCATATGCACTCAAAGAAGCATCTACTTTTTCAGCGTTCCTAAATTGAACACGCGAGAGCTGAATAAAACAAAGCAGTGCGCACACATTCATAGCAGAATTTGGTATTGCGATAGTTAGAATCCGTTTCATTCATAAAGTTTTATTATATCTTTCGAAGAGTTTATGCGTTCATTTGAGTGTACATGTGTACAGCAACTTCCTATAATACGATATACGTAGGTGGTAGGTATGTTCTGAATATATCTGCATACACATTCTCGTACATAGTTGCACAATAAATATGAGAACAAAACCAGAGTTGATTTGAAAGCAAAGCCACACCACCTCGATTCGTAGTCATATGAGAGTAATTTAAATGAGCGAGTCTGAAACCACCTCGATTCATAATCATATGAGAGTAATTTAAATGAGCGAGTCAAAGCAAAGGGATGGACAAAATGAATGTAATGTCCGGTTTTCATCTTTAGTTCGAATTCGTTCGTTATCTTTAGCGCTTCGGCTGCAATTGAGAATAAATCACCCT